CACTCTCGCCTGCATTTCGCGCACTCGACACGCACGATCTCCGCAGAGGGTTGCGCGGGCACCCGGCAAATCGCACTCTCGCCTGCATTTCGCGCACTCGACACGCACGATCTCCGCAGAGGGTTGCGCGCGCAGCCGGTGAATCGCACTCTCGCCTGCATTTCGCGCACTCGACACGCACGATCTCCGCAGAGGGTTGCGCGGGCACCCGGCACATCGCACTCTCACCTGCATTTCGCGCACTCGACACGCAAGATCTCCGCAGAGGGTTGCGCGCACAGCCGGCAAATCGCACTCTCGCCTGCATTTCGCGCACTCGACACGCACGATCTCCGCAGAGGGTTGCACTTTCGGTTGACGCTGTTCGTCCCGCCCTCCGCCTTGAAAAGAGAATTTTTAAAGTGGGGAAATGTTTTTTCATTAGGACATCTCCCGTGCTAGTTTTCCATACTCACTCATTAGGACATCTCCCGTGCTAGTTTTCCATACTCACACTTGCCTACTCATTGCATGCTTGCATGCTCAACTCACACTTACTCATTGCATGCTTGCGTACCCATACTTACACTGCGTGCTTGCCGAGTGTCCGTGTGTATGTGAAAGTGTCAGTGTCGAAGTGTCAGTGTATGTCGTGCGAATGTGGTGGAAGTGTCAGTGTGTAAGCGTACGTGTCGAAGTGTCAGTGTTCAAGGGATTTTCCGGAAGAACCCTTCGCAATGCTTTCGGGAATAAGAAAAATTGTCTATGGTATCAAGCGGTCACCTCTATGATCATCTAATACATTATACATATGTACCTGGGAAAGGAGAGGACGAAAGCCAGCGAGAGACCAATATGGTAGTGCAAGACTGGGAGGAAAAATAGCGGAGCACTTATTGTTGAATGCCTGTAGCTTTCGTGGAGCTTGTATCAGCGTGGAGTAGATCAAGGTCGGAGCACAGCATGAAGTGTTGAATGTTTTAGGTTTTCTCGATTTTCCTGGCGCGGTGCTCTCTGGAGCGTCCCTGTTTGGTGGTCTATTTGAGAATCCGTGTAAAAATAAACATCAGTGAAGACAGGAGAAGGATGCCCGAAAGGTGGTTTTTGGTTGTTTTCAAATGTGTTTCGGGCATCGTGCATCAATGCGAAGCCCTATAAAGATTATAAAGAGCAGGGCTGGGAGAAAAAAAAGAGGAGAGCACTCATTCTTGAATGGTTGTAGTTTTCGTGGAGCTGGTATCACTGCGACGTAGATGAAGATGGGAGCACAGCATGAAGTGTTGAACCCTTGCAGCTTTCTTGCTTCTCCTCTTGCGGCGCTCTTATCCCCAAGCATCTACCTCGCCCAGCCGGACATACTCACATCGTTCGCTCCCAGAGCGTTCACTTTTTGTTGCTTGGTCCTTCAATCAGAGCTACACAGTCCCTATGCCCTGCTCAGGACTAAAACAGTTGTCTCCAGACCCCTTCATGATGCTAATGATGCACTACTCAGCATCCATTGCATCACTCGCATCACCAGACCCCATTTTCACTGCGTTTCTGACCCTCGCTTTGGAGCGCTCTCCCCCACCAAGCTCCGGGTTCACCCTCTCAGGTGCCTTTTCGCGCCCTCCCCCCCCACACCCCCTTAACTCACTTCGTTCGCTCTAAGAGCTCAAGCCTAGCTTATCGGCTGGCTTTCGTAATATATACAATATACAAAAATATATATATATATATATGCAGTTTCTTGTTTTGCTTCGACGTCAACGGATGAAAAAACGCGCTCCGCCGGTGACCGTGCCTGGGATCCGACGCGGCTCTCTTGGTCAAGCGCGAACGCATCGACTCGGAGGACTCGGCTCGTTCAGCTGCGCGCCCCCGCTGTGGGGAAGGAAGAGGAGCCAAGGGAGCCACAGCCACCGGTCGGACCTCGTGCGGTTGGGGTCCAAAAAGAAAGAAGTAGCGTCCTTAGCGTCCTTGTTCCCAGTAGTAAGGCCAGGAGCCAATAGAAGCGTCCTTGTTACTAGTTGGCAGGAAGATGTCTGCACATCCGTTTTTGGTTGGGATTCATTTTTGGTACTGGTACACCGACTGCTTGCTGCGCTTCTCGAGACCTATGCTGTCATCTCATGCAGGTTGTGATGCTACTGTCCCTGGTCCAAGGTGTCTTTCGTTCAGCTCGTCAAATCTTTCACCTTGGTCAGTGGACACACTGCTGTTGAGTTGCTGAAGAAGGAAGATCTCCAATCGTCTCACAGCGCGGAAATTCCTTTGGCGTCCTGGAAATTGGGACTTCGCGCTCTGGCTCACTATAGTAGGCCACATCATCCTCCAGCCATGACGTCTCTCAAAATGCAACAAAGTGTCAGTCTTAACATGCCCTCTCCACGTTTCCCACACCTCCTCCTCTAGTACATCTGCTTGAGCCTCAGAGAATCTTTCTCTATCACGCACACTTTGGAAGAACTTTGGGTTCAGGAACCTAAATCCAACGGATCATAGTCCTAAACCAGTCCTACACCATCGCTTCAGGATCCGGGCTGGTGGCAAAGGACCGGTCGAACGACGTCCAGGGGTCTTCCTGAGGAGCATAGACATGCAGTTTTCGAAGACAACGCCCGACAGCTGGCTAGATGCAACGTCATGTGGCAAACAAACCGCCCTGACTGTCATCATCTTATATATTATGCAAACATCTTTGTGAAACAATGTGAAACCTGTTTGTAAGATCGCACGGCTACCTCAATTGTGCCGGATAGAGTCGTGCCACCAAATCGGGCCAAATCCTCTGCAGTAGGCAGCACCAACGTGCTACTTATGCTCATCCACAAAGGACCTCAAGAAAATCCAAATCACTCAAGACTCAACAGTTTCATTCAAAACCCCTGCGTTCGCACGAGTATCTATGTGGCAAGCAAAAATCGTCTGGATAGTTGCAAATCTCATCAAATCTCCGAAGAAATCATATACGGTCTCACTATTTGTGTGTTGTGAGCTACTTAGCAGCCACATTGTCGAAGCCTCAAAGTGCTCAATGGCCATCGGAAACACATCATACCTTCCACGCTAAGACCTGTAGAGTCAGAAAACTGACTGAAAGATCCGTCTTCAGGATATCTTCAGGAGAGGGCACTCACGAAAGACTCGATGGTTTTTGTCTTGACATTCACCTTGCGCTTCAAAAACTCAAAACAGGCTGCTCTTACTTCCATCTCGTTGCCCGAGGCCATCCTGCTTGCACAAAAGGCCATCAGCAGCAACAAAAATACATCGGCTTGGTTTGCTACCCTCAACCAAGTCGCTTAGTCCACTTTCTGTTCCGTTCCATTGCAGGTAAGCAAGCAACACCAGTTGTTGCTTCTTTTTCTTTGCGCGAAAGGATGCAAAATAGGCAAACGACTGTTGATCAAACTCTTTGACAAAAACCTGCGAATGGATGGCTTTGTCCTCCTCAAAGAGAGCCTCCAATGGGGATGGCCGGCTGCTCAGTCCACAGGGCCTGGGCAACCCACCTCCATTCACCTTGGCGCACTGCACTGCGATGCAACGCTAGTTAGAATGTAGATAGAGAAGTGAAACAATTTGCAAATGTCACATACCTGCATCAGCCTAGGGCTAACACTACGATCCCAAGTATAATCTATTATATCACGAGAAAAACGGCCAAAACTTGTTGAAACCTCCTTTGCTCCAAAGGAGCTGCCGCCTCTTTGATCGGCCTCGGCGGACTGCGCCCACGGCCTGGACCGCCGAAGCGGCGTTTCAACATGAAACGGACGCGCCGACGTGTGGGCCCGTTAAGCCTCCGTCACCCAAACCGAACATGGGCCAAGCGGGCCAACCAATCGAAAAAGCCCTGTTCGTAGCGTCCTTGTTCCTAGTAGTACGTACGGCCAGGAGCCCCTATAGTAGCTTCTTGTTACTACTATTAGTAAGGCACTTGTTACTAGAAGCGATGCACTTGTTCCTAGTAGCTTCTTGGGGGTGCAAACTGTTTGGGGGATCGAAATCTTCCGTGCCGTGCCTGGAAAACCGTTCTGCCCAAGCGTTGCGGTCGCCATGGCTTTGCAACATTCAAGCTATATATATATAATCACCCACATGTTTTCCCTTGTATATGTCTGACTCGCATAAGTGTTTCTGATCTTTGAGTTAATCACAGTACCATTATACTTTATATTAATGCAGGACAATAAATCCACACATCTTTAGCAATATCTTGGCCAGGTGTCTCTATTCAACATGTTACAATATATTTGAGCAGTTGATGTTGTTGCACTTTGCAAACAAGCTTGCTGTATGACATCGCGAGCATGCTTGTTGTAGAAAAGACCGTCTGCCCCTTCGCATGTCAAAGCTTGGAAGCTGGAACGGCAGAGGAAGCAGACGTCCGCTGTCGAAAAATATACAATATTCAATCCATTTCAGCTGGATAGCTGGATTCGAGCAACCCGTAAGTAAAGCTCAACATGCTTAAATCATGTGTATCACAACATCAAACTCTGCGATCTCTTACAACAAAGACCAGTAGTAACAGGTGCCTTACTAGTAGTAACAAAGAAGCTACTAGTAA